ACTACAAGCAACATACGTTCTCTGATTTTACTAACTCTCAACTTGGAGTCACCTAGCACAGGGATCCCCAACCCGGTACCGGGCCACGGCATGCCAGCAACCGGTCTGCAAAAACAAGCAAAGCCCCATCCATGGGATGCAGGCAGCATACAAAACTATGCACTCTTTGGTCCGCAGAAAAACCTTTCTCCACGGAACCAGTCCTTGGTGCCCAAAAGGTTGGGGACCTCTGATCTAGCAGGAAGTGTTTGTGGGATTTTAGCTATAGTGAATATTGCCAGCTAATTGGATGTGCGTGGTTAAACTCCTCTTTCTTTTCTGCCCAGGAGTCCAACCATATTCCACCTCTACACTAAACAGTTTTAAAATGTAGCACTGTAATAAATCCCAGAAGTGGTCTGGAAAATCTGATCTCTATTAATTCTTCTGCACAAACAGAATCATTTTCAAGAGTTGAAAGCTGAAAAGATTTCAGAACTAAGCCACTGAAAATCTGCTCTCCTTACACCCCACCACCATCTTTAAGATTAGATGTGGGCACTCTACCCAACTTTAACTAACCTGTGGTCTGTGATACAACTCAGAAGTGAGTCCTACTAGCCAGCAAGGGAGCATTATTTTATTTTATTTGCTCTCTTGCTCTCTTTTGCTCTTTCGTTTTTTGCATCAGCATTGATAATGTTAGCTAGTTTCTGCCAGAAAAAAAAAAACAACTAAGACAGCACCGAGAATCCCACATTTCCCTATCCTCGGGAGAGGCTTAAGAAAGAAGACAAGCCGCTTCCATTTAAATAGCTCCCCGGAGCTAGCAGTAAAAGTCACTGCGCAGCAATTCCATCTTTTCCCCTTTTGTCAGAAAAGGAAAAAGAATGGCAAGCTGCCATTGGAAAACCACCGTTCCTTGCTCCCTGAAAAAGTGCCTTAGCTTAGCGCAACAAGGTGCCCGCACAACCGAAGCCACTCCGGATCAAAGCAAGCCTCGCAACCTCCCCCCCCCCCCCCC